TTGTTCATCCAATTTTTCAGCTGGACTGAGACACTCACAGGTGGAATGACTCTCCCAAACATGTATTGAGTCAGGCACGTCATCAGAGTTAGGAACCAGATTCCTTCTGCCTCTGAGCACAGTCATGCACACAGATATCACTTGTCAGTTGTGCTGACAACAGCCATACAATTGCAAGCATGTAGGACATCTCGAACGGCTCACTACCACACAGGAGGAGCTGAGAAGAAAGTCCTTATGGAGAAGAAGAGATGAGAAAGATAGACTTGCAAACCAAGAAACATAAAAAGAGTTACTAAACTACCTTTCCATGAACGGGGCATTTACCTTTCTAATTATACATGCCTTTTATCTTGCCCACTGTACGTAGTTTGCTAAGATTGTGCTTTTGGGAGTTTTTGCCTAAGCCTTTCTTTTCAAAACAAATGCTTCGCTGCTTTTCTTCTGCAAATAAAATGATACCATTAGTTCAGTGCTGTTGAAGAGCTGGGCAGTAACAAACAATGTGCAGCAACAATGCAGGAAGACAAGAGGGAGGATAAAGCAAATATTTGCTAAAAGCAGAAAATGGAAAAAAAATAATTTACTAAACAGGAAAGAAGTATCTTGGAAGCAAATTTTAAAATGTATTGTGAGGAAAAGCTTCTGTGACAGGAAAAAATAATGATCTGACTACCTGTTTTTTAGGCAGAAATAAACAGTAACACTGCTTTCATATATGAATAACACTTACATACTCCCACAGTAAGGGAACGTGATTGAAGTTGCCAAGATAAAGACAGAAAAATCAGGAAGTTCCAGAATTAAGGTTGCCTGAGAAGGCTTCATGCGGCCAGTCTGTGTGTATGCATGATGAGACAGTCTTAAAAATCACAAAAATCACAAAATAATTTGCCCACAGGACCATCCTTGCTTAGCGCAAAGGATGGATGAATGTTTCTCACTTAATGAAAACCTATTCTGTGTTTTGTTTTCTCCTCAGCAAGTGATCCTATCCCTCATTTACGGCTTACTGCCCAAGCCCTGCTCTGAAAACTAATGCACTAATGTTTTCTATGGGCTCTTCCAGATTGCTCATTATTGCAGCCTTGACTTTTTTTAAGAACTATCAAAGCATTTATGTTTACAATAGCATTATGAGGGGAGGGCTGACTTGGCTGCATTTTAGACACAAGAGAAATTCACATCAAAACATAACCGCTAATTTTATGTGCCCATTTGAGGATGCCTGGCTTTTCAGGGTAAAACAGCGTCAGGTTGTACATCATATCTTTCAAAGTACAGAGGTCAACATCTAGGTGCTTTAACCATCAGACTGATCTGTCAGATCAACTGTCTTCCTTAAAACTTCTGCTTTTTGTTCATTAATCACCTACAGTAGAGTTCGTCTTATCTGTTTTGTATCTGCCTTTGTCTAGTTGTGCAATTCTAGAGATGCTGGAGAAGATGGGCACGTCTCAGGGTGAGATAGCAGGTACTCTGTGACTGCCATCAGGAGTTTTGCCTGGATGTTTTCCTCTAAAAACAGCAAAAGCTGTGCAAGGTGAAGCCAATCCCTGCTGGTTTGTCAAGTGCATCCTGCAGGAGGGGGCTACCGACTTTTGCCCCAGCCCTCCTCAGCCTGTCCTTACACTCGTGTCCTGGAAGCCCAGTCAGGCACCTCTCCTGTATCATCTGTGTTGTGGAACTATGGAGTTAATTCTGAAAACAAAACCTGAAAGTCCTGTAAGTACCTTTAGGCTCATGCCCACTCTTAGTGAAATTCTGTGCATGAATCTCTCCCCAGGCATTATCCTACTGATGTCCTGAAGGCATCATTATATTCCTGAAATCAAAGAAGCTGCATGTGGGAGGAAAATATAGACACGAAGTTCATCAGAACCCCATATGTCAGTAAAAGGTAAATAATCGCAGGAGTAAATCACTGCAAGATAAGTCCTTAATTATTTAGGGTCAAATAGCAGCAGCGTTACAGATGCGAAGTAATATTTGTTAACCACCTATCCTGGGAACACTTCTATAGAAAGATATTATTCCGTACAAGAAAGAAAGGCAAAATGTGGATTGTGATGCTTAGAAACTTTTTCAGATAAATAGGAAATAATATTAAAAAGCATGAACAAAAAATCTATCCAAAGGAAAAGAAAAAAAAAGAAGCTGTCACAAATTAATTTTTTTTAAGTTAATAGTAGTTTCAGCTATTTCAAATATCTCTGGGATGCTTCTGCTAATTTATGTTTGCAATTACATTTCCTTATTTTTTCACCTTTCCTGTCTTACTGTATGAAAACCCTGCACTAAGCACAGGAAAAATTGACTAACTGGCAGTAGCAAGAGGGTGTAACTAAGTGGTGACACAAACAGAGTGCTTTCAAATTCACAGATCAAACTAGCTTGAAGGAAAAAAAGATATAAAAAAATTCTTCAATTCCTTTCTTGCATACTCTGCCTTCCATAAAACCCAAGTAGTTTAAAACCTTCTTGGGAAGGAAAAAAGAGTGGGTTTTCTTGATTAATAGCACTCTCTTTTTTAAGGAGGAAACGGACATACAACATAAAAAAGGAAATTGGTCTTACATTTATGAAATCATGTGCCAGATTCTCAGCTGGTGCAAAATAGCAGTACTTTCCTTGCTTACAGGATGTAATTCCAATCTATATCAGCTGAGGATCTGATCTAAAGAGCTTTCCTCTTATAAATATAAAAAGATATTCAGACTCACCTCAATTTAGACATGAAGTGTACCAGATTGAAACTGCATTGAAGTCTCATATTTCAAAATAGTTTTCAACCTCTTCTTTCTATATTTTATCTGATATCCTCTTTTATAGCCAGAAATATAAGTCAGAAGATGTAAACATTCAATGAAGTTCACTAGATTTGCTATACCTCCAAGGTCTACTTACGGACTTTGATGTGTGCTTTATTAGAGCAGAAAGTGCTTGCATAGTACACTGATACAAAACTGTTTAAAATCTCGAGGGAACATCTACCCATCTTCTCCATGAACCAGGTTCACACATGTATGCATAAACCAACAAAGCTTGCCTATATGACAGGGACAGAAAGACACCTTAACTCCCACGTTCACGTTCAGATTGGCACTTCACCATCGTGTAGGTGGGTGCTAGGTTTTAGGGCAATATCCCAGGTTTTTAACTCTTCATCTGTGAGTGCTACTCTAAGAATTGTCTTGGAGAGTGTTGTGGGAGCACTTGTCTGTTCCTGCTGGCCCTCTGCTGAAAACTAGTAGCTGACTGCTTAGAGGGGTGATGCTTACTCCACTGAAAACAAAACATAAAATTACAAATTAAGCACAGCTGAACACACCTATGTCAGTTAGGGAAGGAGCTCCAGGGGAACTTGTGTGCCTAAGCAGCTTAGGTGCCTTCTGAAAATCCCACACCTTTACAGTTCATCCTCATGCAAAAAGCAGAAACATCAGCCATGTACTTTTCACACAGGAAGAACAAACAATTTCTAGCAATGGCTGTATCTAGGTAACAAAATCTATATTCATATTATGAAAACAATCTTCAACCGCATGTTCATGTTTTGTAATGTGGGCTATTTAATGTCATAACTCCCTTTTTTATTTTAATTGTGAATATTTTTATCGTGTTTTCTTTTTTACTAAATTTGAAGTTGAAACTACGGTTATGGTCAGATATGTGAAAATTACAACTCACAGTTCCACAGACATTTTCCCTTCTGACTTTCAGATCAAATACTCTCAAGCTGACAACTCTCAAGCAATTCTCTCTTAGCCTAGTCCCACACTTGCACTCCCTTGGAAGCTCATGCTTTCTGTCAGCAGTATGTTTGCATCAATACAACCTCCTGCGTACTCCAAAGCCTATCTGGAGAAGCTTACTAGCTTATCCTTTCTGATTCTTGGAAATGTCAAGGCAACTTTGTATCCTACGACCAACCTACTGCTCATAAAACAGAAACCTCTACTGAAGTGAGGCTGACCCTGTAGAAGAAATGTGTATAAAGAGTCAGGAAGCCCCTTGATTACATTTTCATATGCAGAGTTTCTGTCTGCGGCTGCACTTCAACCACGGTGTTTCAGTAGTCACACATTTGCTAACACCTCGAAAAAGTTCATCTGTAATGCTGTCACTTGTAACCAGTCCAATTATCTCTGCTCATTCAACAATGAAAAACACAGTCTCCTATAAATGGCCTGGATACAGAAGTTGAACATTCGAGGAGATAAAAAACGCAGCAAGTTAAAATCTTACTCAAGAGTCCTACACAAATGAGTAAGTGGGCAGAACGCAGCCCCTTGGTGTGGCGTACAGGGACTAGAAACTCATCTGATCCCGATCATCAGGGCTACCAACGCGACTACTAACATGCAGTTATGTGACAGGTATTTCTTTAGAACATATCAAGAAACTATATCAAGTAGACTTGATATAGACATGGTACTATCAAGTATCAAGGCAAGACAAACCCAATCTCTCTTTGACACCTTCTGCTCTAGGGTGAGTACTGTGGCTTAAGACATGGATTAAGACTTTACAGCGAGATGTAACTGAATCAAAAATGCAATTAGGAGTATTTTGAAAGATGAACAAGTATGAACTCCACCAGCATATGGCATTTATTAGATGAAGAAATGGGTACAAACTGCAAAGCAGGCTTCCAGGAGCACAGTTATTCTTTGCGACCTTTGGAATTTCAGAGCCACTTTGAGGCTGAGAGTGTCAACACAATCTGCCAGCGAAGCCTGGATATACCCAAGGAGACATTCAAAGGCAAATGTGATAGCATCAGCAGAGGAGCTCAGTTACGTAAAAGGAGAGGTGTGCCTAAACCACAACTTTTCTGATGTACATCAAGGCTTTCCCAAAGTTCAGAGCTGCGCTATCTGAAGAGGATGGTACAGACCCAGAGCCACCAGGAACACAGTTATGTTCTCAATCCACTTCATTTGAACGGTAACGACAAAAGAAAAAACAAGAGGGAAGAGAAGACAAGGCGGGCTCACCAGAGTGCGTCCTGAGGTGTCCTGTGAGGGCATCCCTCCGTCGGCAGGCATAGCTGCAGAAGGGACATTTGAACGGTTTCTCCCCAGAGTGCAACTTGATGTGCCTCAGCAGGTTCCCCTTCTGGGTAAAAGAAGCTCCACATTGGTTACAGTGGAAGGGGCGTTCACCTGGAAAAGAAATGGAAGGGAAAGACTGTCAAGAAACATCAGAAGATGCATGGAGCCTGTTCTCCCTCTCTTTGTAACACTGCTGTCTTACATAGGTACAGTCCCCACCACCACCATCACATGGCACTTGCTAAAGTCAAAGGCCGTTTCTTTTGCACAAGGTGCAAAGCCTCCAATAGTGATTTGGAGCTCTTTCCTTCTGCAATATCAGCTTGAGGTGATTAACGCAGCCTGATTTTCATAAAGTTCTCCACCTTGGAGGTTTTATCCTTCATAAAAAATGAGCTCTGCTCAAAATTTAGATCTATAATCGTGCTTTCGTGGTATTTATCTCTATGGTTTTGCACTTATTTTTAGTATAGGTGCAAACCATATGAGTATTTAGAACTGATCATAACAATTGGACTTGGACAGATGTTAGGGTCTTTGCTTCAAACCAAATCTTTTGCTTACATTATACTTTAATTGAAATCCCTTTTTGAAGGTTGCTTTGCATTGCTAGAGTGGTATGCAGAGAATCGATGCAAGTAAGGATCAGGCCCACAAGCTTTGGGCAGTAGCAAACACTGAGAAAAATCTTATGCCATTAAACTATGAAATAAGCAAATCTGTGCTCTAAGTAAAACTAATTGAAGACTTGTTTGATGGGGAAAAAAAAAAAAAACAAACAGAAACTCTACACCCTACCCTCTCCCTTCACCCCATGCATTCAACACACACACATGCAAAACTTATTTTGATGTTAATCCTTCATATTTGCTCTGGACAGTGGGGAATGGGTCCATAACAACAAACATCACACTTTTTTTTTTATATTATTATTATTTAGAGGAAAACCCCTGACAAATTCATACAGGTTTCATGAAATATTACCAAAACCATACTCTATGTCAACATTTGTTGAGGACAGTCAGTCTGTTCCAGCATTCATGGGCAGGCAGTCAGCTCTAATCACCTACTTATGTATGTCCCATCGAGTACAGTGCAAATCAATAGGGCACAAGCATATACTCATGCTGGCCACTTGCCTAAGCGCTTAACTGCAGCTGGGCTCTAGATGCTGAAATGTTTTCACCAACTAGGACCCCAGTTCAACAAGGTCTTGAACATCAGATTTCAGATGTAAGTAGTCTCATTCATTTTTTCAGCGTATCACCTGTTACGGAGCCTTGGTCAATGCCTGAGGGGACTTTCTGAGGTTGAATTCACTGACCTGAAGCACAGTTCTAGTGAAAAAACGAACGTGTTCTCTGATCTGTCACATCTCTCCAAAGCCTTTTTCAATTGCTTTAAAATGATTACTCCCTTGCTGCACAAAATTAATGCTATGTTTTTATCAAAGTAGTTCATGCATCTAGTGTAAAGTCCAACATATGTCTGTTGATTCAAATGGAAAGAGAAGGAGGAAGAGAGCTCTTACGGATGTCCACTAGCAATTCTTGCTTCAGTGGTTAAAATCACTGCCAGCATTACAGTCCTACCAGGAGGGCAACAGAAGGCAGGTGTGCCATATATATGCCATACCTCTGCAACTTCACTTCACGTGTGTGAGCTGGAAATTACATCCGAAACCACTGCAGATGCACTGAAGAAGACACTAAGGTTCCTACAGTCTTGCCAAGAACATTATGGAGTAATGATAAAAATCAGGGCATAAAGCTCATCTTCCAATACACTGAACACGAGCACATTGGAATTGATAAAGAGTTTGTGGTTTCCCTTTTAAACTCCCACACTATACTTAAAGGATCAGATTAGTCATTATCTTCTTTTATATCATTTCAAAATGTCCATAACAGAGATATGCAGTAGAAAAATATATGTGTTTTTTTTTCTTTTTTGTTTTGCTTTCGCTGTCTGAGAAAACAGGCAAAACCCCTTCCTTTGACACATTTCTCAGTATTTAGGAATGATAGCTTCAGTTTCAGGATGACAACATTAAAGAAGGTAGTGAGTTTCTTACCAAGTCTTAAGTATTTCCTTTTACTCCTGCTGTATTTAAAACTATGCAGTTAATATGTTTTATCCACTACATCACCTGCAAGATAAGCAGATACTCTGGAGGCCACATATGAGCAGGTATTATTCCTCGATAAACTGGCAGCTGAAGAGATGCCTTTGGTCAGGAATTCAAATAATCCCTGCACTAAAGTTCAGTGGCAAAGATGACATGAAAACACTCACCACAAAGTCACCAATAGTCTGTTCCTCTCTTGCAACAGATAGAATCTGCTACAATAATAGCACATTTTACCTTAAATAACCTTTGTATCTATTTAAAGCCAGCATGCATTCATTTTTCCTACTGGCTTAATTCTGCGTAAATAACTGCTTTGATCTGTTTATTACACTTTTGTCCAATCATTTGATTCCTGCTCCTTGTTTAAGCTGCAGGCTTGTGGGTTGGCCATTAATTTTAGTCACACCTTCGCACTATTGATTAGCAGCTTCTACATTTAGCACAGCTGATCTGAGAGACCATTATCCAATAGAAGGGTGCACAAAAAAAGTAAAGACTGAAAAATAAGAAAATTTTGCTGTTTTTCCAAGAACTCTGCTGCCTGATGCCCACTCCAGATACTAGCAAACCAGCCTTCTTTATCACTTCAGTGCCTTGAGAAGACTGTTTTCCAATTATTTCTCCTGCTCTCTTTTCCCAGTAGGTTTGTAAGCAGTTCTCCAGTATTATTATTTCCTAATAACAAAATAAGAACCTTGACACCCTTATTCACTTCCCTTACCCTTCCGTGAAAAGTAAAATTTTTTATTCATAGGCTGAAATTAATCACACTTCAAACTAATCATCCACTCATGGAAAGTCTTTACCTAAATACATTCCTACTCTACATGGCAGTCCCTGTCTGTGTTTAAAATGTTTTCCTGTCTTTGGGGGTGATGGCAGCACAGACATACCAGAAACGATAGACCTATTAAACAAATGGCATACACGACTACAAAAGGCTACTGATAATAAGCATGGTGTGTATTTCACAATTATAGCTGTCTATGTATTTACTCTTTGACTCTATAAACTTATACTGATTTATTAAAATAAGAACTCCTTATAAGAAGGACACGTACTGAAATGTGACTAAGCAAGCTTTTTGCTTTTCAACACTGGAAACTATGTGACTGCAAAATATTTTTAGTCTACTTTTAAGTATCAAAACTTTTCTCTATTTTAGAGCTAAACCGGGGCAGAAAAACCTCAAGCCTTAGTGATTAAAAAAAAAAAAAAAAGTTTCTGAGTGGAGAGAGGGGGAGGAACAGCTAACCAAACAAAAAAGATGTTTCTTTTCAACTCCAGATTTAAGATCTAAAGCCAGACAAAACCAAGAGTGCCTAAAAAGCCTTGTTCTCCAGCGCAGGGAATTTAACTATCTAAAGTTACTTCAGGAATGGACAAGGCAAGGTAAGCCGGAGCTGCAAAGTATTACCTTTCGTAAAGTCTTAGTAAGAGGGGCTTACACCAGGGAACAGGCCTGATAATTAAATAAATAAATAAATAAATAAATCCATGGGGTTTTATCATTTACAGTTAAATAAAGTATTAATTAAAAGGTATGATTTCAAATATTTACCTATAAATTACAGTAAAATACTGCTGAAACTTCACAGTTCATTGTTTAACATGCATCCATTACAGCTATATCTCCTCCAGGAAAAATAATGAAATATTACGGCTCTTTAGCTACACCAGTATCTAAAGTACATAAGGTAACTTGCTGTTGTGTAAACAAATACTGAGATGAAAGGTGAAGTGGACCAATGGAGTCAGGGTTATTAGCAAGACACAGTCCTTTCGTAAGTACCTTTAATATATGGCAGCTGGCTGAAGACTTCATCGCACAAGCTATGAACGCTGTCTAGCTGATACAACCTGAAACCAGGCGAATAAACTGATTAACTTCCTACTAATAGCTTTCATATTTTACCATGTATATGTCAAATGTTATTTCAAAAAGCAAACCAACTCCTTTTTCTGCTTAATTGAAAGCTTCGCTGCACAATAACTCTCCTTTACCGCCTTAGCACAGAAGTGCTGCACAGAAGTTTCAGTATGAGTTATCCTTCTTCGAATCTCATACCGGTGCAAAATACATCAGTGAAATTTTCTGTATCAAAACAGAAATCTAACTGAGGACAAAGAGCCTGCAGACCTCACAACCAAGGAGACTTAGATTTTCATAACCCTTGGCTGGTAACTTTTGTCCCTTTGAAATCAAATGGAGCAACTCACAAAATAATACATAATAATGTTCTCATTAACAGTGAGGCCTGGTTATTTCTACAGCAGTGCTCAGGTCCCTTCCTGGGAACGTTTTAATGACTCTTTTTAAAAAAATGCTCATTTTAAAGTCTCTTCACAGTAACAAGAAAAGCCAGGATAGAGTCCTTCTAAATATAAGAACCAGGTCCAATGAGACTACATTTAACATCTGCCTGGTTAAATGTATATCTAAGATCTCAGCCTTTTTTGTTTGGCACATACTTTTGATTTGCAAAGGACAGCTTAGGTACTTCTCAAACAGGGTTTTTTTTTAACCTCTTAATGCAAAATTACTGTGCCCATGCTGCCATCAGAAAGTATTTGCTCATAATAATAATATTTTCACCCTTCGGTAGTAGGCTTTTTGTTAATATTCAGTCAAAATGAAACATTTCTCCTGATTCATCAGATGCTGCAACTGCTCTGATTCTGCTCTGACCCAGGAGCACAAATGAAATACTAGCTGCCTTACCAACACGCTGACAGGCAGTGAGTTGCAACCTGCCTTTACCCAAGCAAAATATAGAGCAGCAGACTTTGCTCCATTTCTGTATCTGTTGTTCTAGGGACTATCTAGTCTGCATACCTACTTACTGTTCTATCAGATTCACTTAACAGGCTGCACATCACTTGAAATCAGTGATTTTACTAGGGTTTTTTGTTGGGAAAAACCTACTTCCAGATAGGTCAATTTATTATAAAACAGTAGTGACAAATCTCTCATGAAAAATTCCTGGGAAATGCTGGGTGATTTCCAAGTGTCCTCTGTACACAAATTTATGACCATATTCTTAAGAGAGAAAAATCATTTAAGTGAACTGGTAAAAATATCAGAAGAGTTTAGCTACTCAGTACTGTGAGTAAAACACATCCTTATACAGAGAGCAATTTTAAAAAACCTAAGCTCTCCTTCCTTATGCTTAAGTAGAAAATGAGACTTTTGGAAAAATGAGAGTTAGGAACCTAAGCAGAAAATATCACGTTTAGAAATTTGGACCTACAATTTTTGATTCAGTGCCAAATCGATTCCTATTGCAAGAGGTAGGAGCCTGCACTAGGTTACAAATTAAACCAAATAAAACCTTTCCACTAGAAGAATAAGACAGGCAGTCCAACACAGTTAACAGTAATTTGTTAATATGACCATTTGTTTAAATTTGTTCCTGGTTAGCTCTTTGGGCATAAAAGTCTTTTGTACTCAACAGCACAATTGGGTTTTTCCTCATTTATTAATTGTGGCCCGAAAACTTGAACTCTGCATGAAGAAAAAAAATTAAATAGCATTCAGAGTTCCAGTGTTGCATATGTTCAATTATAATGCTATGGATGCTAAAGCAGAACTTGAAGATTTCCCTCATGTTTGATTGAACTACCATAATGTATCTCATTTCACTGACTTTATGGTACTAAAATGCACGTGGAGTGCAAGCAAAGATCTGAGACCCTCCTGTGGTTAGCACCCCAAAAAAGCCTGAAAATAACCTATCAGCAGCCCAAAGTGAGAATGGGGCAAGACTGCTATCCCCACTGCCTTCTGCGTCATGCCCTGTAACCCAGGAACCTGGCTTTCCTGTGCGACTGTCCTGCTGCATCCACACAGAGAATGCATTTAAGCTCTGGGTGTTCTTAAAACAATGAGGATGATCCCAATCCTCCCTAGAAATAAAAAGTGTTTCAGAATCCAGCAGTGGACTAGATAAAGAACTGGATGTTACGGTGGAGAAAAAAAATCACAATTCACAGTGCAAGGGAGAACAACACGTGGACCTTGCAGATCACAGAGGCAGCAGCATGGCTGTACCAGCAAATGGTTTTTGCTTTGCCAAAAATGAGGAGCGAGGAAATTTTAATTCAGGCCCACTAGCAGAAAGCCTTATCTTCTTCCTTTCCCCTTCCCTCAGCGTCCCCAAGCACAAGCCCCTGGAGTATCCAGTGGCAATATTATGTGACCAGTCATCTCCTGCACTAACAAAAAACTCTGATAAAGATGTTGCAACTCAGGGCATGTGCTGTAGAATATGAAATTTGGACCAAAAGAAGATATTATGGGAAAAGCGGAAAATAAATCAAACCTGACACACGCTATTTTTCTGACACAAGGGCATGACGTGTGAGGGAGAGGCTGGGGGGTGGTTATCCCGCTCACTGAAGCAGGGAGTGCATCACACTTAATTCCCACATTGAGCATTTTATTTATTTTCTGTCAGCAATGACAAATAAATAGAAAAGCCTTCTCCTGATGGCCATGCAGATTACAAAAACACTTCACCTGAATTATCAGTGTTTCAGAGAAATGTTGTGTTCAGTGGTATCAGATAAGCAATGGCAAGGGCTCCGTGACAGAGGTGCCATGGACCAAAGCATCGCTTGCACCATACACACGAGGCAGTGCTCATGCAGATCCAAAGGATGAATGGGAAATCCCTGGCTCGGTCTATCACGGGAAGAGGCAACTGCAGGCATCAGAGGAAATGGATGCTCTAGCACATGAGGATGAGAGATGGGACACTGAGCTCATCTACTCTGGCCTCATCCACGGCACAGATTATTTTCCCCATCCCTGTATCTGTTTGACTGAACTACCATAACATGGCAGGGGAAGACAACTGCTCCTCAGGAAGAGATGAATAATGGCTGGAGAAAACTGTGCCCCTTTACGTGCATAACGCAGCCAAAGCCATATGGCACAGCTTCTCGCAAAGCCTGGGTCCCCAGTGTAAGGAAAGCCACACTCTCGTCCCAGCATACATGCAAATTACAGTCTCTACTACGGACCGCAGCATTTTGTGTGATTTACATAGAATGCTGACAGGTTTTTTGGGAAGGGAAAAGGACTTTAGTTTTTGCCAACGCAAACAACTGGCCAGACCATGCTTTGGTTGTGTGCAGATAAAGAGAAGAGTAAGGCGGGATTCAGCTCCCAAAACATACTTAAATTGGCTTTGAGAGGTAAGGATTTACATGCCAGTTGCATTAGCTGATAAAGAATATCATCCGTTTCCACTCGTTAGGGACAACCTCCCTTCCCTCCACCATTCTCCCTTGGGCTGCAAAACCAGACTATACACAGGTCAGGGCTCATTCCAGAACTGGGGCCAGCCCACTGCACCAGGCTGCCGAGGAAGTGGCAATATATTTTAAAAGACTGCACTTTAAAAGATAGATACCAGTATGTTAAAAATACTCCTTAGAATCAAGGATGTGGAAATCTAAGCAAACTTCTCCTTCTGTTGTGGACAGTGAAGTAGCAGCATGTATTAAAAAACAAACAAACAAAGTGTGTGTGGGGGGAAATCCCCCGCAAAATTTGCCAACTGGTTTACTGAGAGTAAACAGAGTAGGGCACTGAGCTGCACATTAAAAGGAATGCCATTTCTGTATGCTTGAAATCATCTGTATAGAGCAATACATCACAGCTCCTCTGCTCAGATGGGAAAAGTCAGAGCTCTATGAGGAAACAGCAGTAGCCCGAAGGAAAAAGCTATGTTATGCAATTCCTACCCATGCACCTGCATACAGCCGTCTTGCCTGCACGCAGATCAGATTTTGTTCTGTTCGCTTTGAATTTGCATGTCTTCTTTAACATGAAAAAGGCAGCTTGTCAGTATTTAAAAGATGCACTAGCTATTCAGTATCTCAAAAAATGCAGACCATTTAATTAAGTACCTAAACCTAAATTTAGCAGGTCTAATTTAGCTGCTCAAGTTCAAATACGTGGACTCCGATGCACATACAATACATATGCTCAGATACGTGCAAGTGCCAGTGAAAACTTTTAGGGAAGTTGAAAGCTGGGGACTCAGTCTGTTACACTCTATTCTCTCTCCCTTTCCTAATAATAGCATCTCAAATTGTTAATCAAGATTTTGGTTCTCCAGCTAATGCTTTTCCCCTGTCGTAACTGCTGTCTGAAATCATGACTGCATCATAAATGATACTGCAATGTTTTGCATTATACATTTATGTTAAGTTATTATCAATACAACTTACATACAGGGCATTAACTATGTAATACATATTTATTATTGCTCTGTACAGAAATTGTATTGATTTCTTTCCCAGCAAGAGCACACTACTTGACTGCAAACTACCAGGTTTACAGAGGGATTACACAAAGTCTTTCTTACTCTACCTTAAAACCCCACTTTTCTTTTTATATCCTAGCAGATATCTCACAGTCAGTGTGAGTCTCTCACCCCATTAAATAATAGCAGAGAAAGATAAAAAACAAAGTAGCTTTCATTTTGTCCAGAAAATATGAAGAACAAACACCCACTGAGGCTCCAACACAGAAACCTGTGCTTAACTTTAATAAGATTTAAGTGTGTATCTTAAGTTAAGCATATATTGTAGCACTTCAGGTGACTTACATGTGCTTAAATCTCATAAAAGTTAAGCACAAGCTTAAGTGCTTTTTTAAATCAAAGGCTCTGCCAGGTAGACCTCTGCAAGACTGGAGAGCATTGTCTTCCGGCACCATCTGTACTTTTATCCTGTTAGAGGTAACTGTCACTCCCGCCAGAGGAGCAGCAGAGGCAAGCGAGTACCAGTTTCTTGGGCACCCCAGTTTGTCATATTAGCCAAAAATCCTCTGAAATTCCCTGTTTTGAACTCGAGGCCTCATCTTTCAGGCTCCAAAGGCCCGCTCAATCAGCATATTGCAAAGGTTTTGTCTGCCTCTTGAATTCTCAAATCCATAAGCCTAGTAAGCTGTTTTGGTCTCCAAACAGTAGTAGTACTAATAGTAATAAAAATAAACGATAGGAGAGTGCAAGCATTGAAAGGTGTCACAAAAATGATATCTGGATGGTGAGGGGGAGACAAGCGCTAGCCCACAAGAGTGGTTCAGGTGAGGTTTCCCTGATGGAGCTGTCACATGATGAGCAGCAAGCCCACCCTGGCCTCAAGATCGCTAGGTAAAGTGTGTCCCCTGCAGGGTTTGCGAATCCCAGGTTTGCCGGGCCTCCGGCATCACGCCCAGCCACTTGCAAACTAGGTCTGAGATCCCCAGGAAGCTGCTATTGTTGCCTACCTGTGAGCACCTCCAAGGGAAGACCATCTAAGACCCACCTTAAAGGCTCAAAAGCCTTGCACATGTGCACACACACATGAACACACACACGCACCCCTCCATGCCAGAGAATGTCAAAAACAGTAAAAAAGGTGATTTCCAGACTTCTGTGTTTTTTTAAGAACAAAAGGCTGGAAATCAATGTCAAGGAAGCACCATGCTTGCCAGAAACACAGCATCACCAGAATTTGGGGAGCAGGGGGAGAACCAAAACAACACAGCCCGTCTTTCCCCTCCCCAGCCTCCTGGTACCCCATGAATGAAAAGGGAAGAGAGAAGAGTTGTCAGGTAATATCAACATCAGACGCCACAGGCAGTCATCAGATTTTCTTTCAGCTGCTTACCAGTGTGGCTCCTTTTATGTACCATTAGCACATTGGGCCCAATGCAAACCATGCCACAGACGTCACATTTCAGTTTACCATTCGGAAGCCGGATTCCTCCCTCGCTTGATAACTCCTGGATCTTTCTGTTATCCGCCATCTCGTTACTCTCAGTGAGGGGCTCTTCCAGGCTGCTTCCTTCATCATGAGCCCTGATCTCATCTTCCTGACTCAGGGGCTTCCTGTCACATTCCTCATCACTTTGCATTTCTAGCTTTACTGAATTTGCTGAAATAAGAAAAAAATTTAAAAAAAATAATTAAAAACGTGTATTTTCTAAGTTCCCAATCGCTAATATCATGATAAATTTCTACTGTTATCAATATTAAAGCACAGCCTTGAAGCTCAAACCAACATGAGGGCCTCACATTGGTGATGGCACCACAAGTTACAACTGCATCTTTCTTCAAAACTTTGTGGTTGTGTGGTTTTTTTTTTTTTTAAATTCCTAATTTCTATCCCTACTTTACAGCTTAGAAACTAAGGCACGGTGTGCTCCAGAGACCTACCAGAAGTTGCAGAGATGCAGCAGGCTTAAGAAGTAACCGTCTACTTCTCAGCTTGAAACACAGGAGCCCCCCCTTCCTTTCAAGGGGCCCAAGTCACAAAAGCAAAGGACAGAGCTGCTTCCTCCAGGTCTCTCCTGCCTAGTGCACCAAGACGCAGGGTTTCCAAAGACAGGACACTGCACCACCACAGCTCACTGAAGCAAGCACCCTTTGCAGGCAGGATTGTTCAAAACGCAGGGACCTAGTGAAGCCGGGCTTGTGAGCTGTGTCGGTAATCTCCAAATCACCCTGCCTGCACAGGCAGGTTTCCTGATAGAGAGGAGACCAACTTCTGGATGAGCCTCCAGTGCTTTTTTGCTACCATCTTCTGATTCACGTAAATGGGACACTGCCAAGCAAACAGGTCTCAAGCGAGACCTATGCTGCTGGCTTATTTATATTTGCAAGTGAAACAAGCGCAGCTGAAGATCTTTCGTATCTGCTTGGTTAGACTGACGGGCTCAGCACTGATTTCTGTGATCCTCAGGTCACAGGACAAACCTCCTCTAACTAGCAAGAGCTTGTGGGATCAGCAAATCTTTAAAGAAAATGAATGCATCAGGCTTTTTCACATAGGGGTGTTGGTGCAGGGGTGTTTTAATCACCAGACACCCCCATTTCAATGCCTCAATGGTTGGTTGAAACTGCTGAAAGGCCTGTCCCAGAGTCACACTCCATCCACAGTGCCAGCCAGAAGGCAAACCCACGTGCCTGCTTCCCTAAGCCTTGATCCTGCTGAGGGGTTTAAAAGAGGTGATTCAGCCTTCATATCTAAGCAGTCTTTGACCTTTGTACTAAGGCCATTAGCACGAGTGCTGGTGACAGCAGTGGACCCGGAGTGCAACTGTGTGCCCTGGGCCTAGCTGGTGTCTCCAGAGCCAGACATGCTCCAGAGCAGCCGCCCAAGGGGACCCTGTCCGGGAACCCAACGAGAAAGTTAGGGGTAAATGTGTCTGATTACTGTGAGGCATCACAGTTTCAAACAGCAGGCCTGGAAATGTCAGAAGAACAAACCCTAGTACTTAGACTTCCTCCTTCATCCTCCTTTCTCCTCCTTCCCCAGAATTTACAGGTAAAGAAAACACAAGGTTCAGAGACTGATATTGATGTTGCAACTCTAAATCATTGCTGTTACTCCTAGGTAAAGCATAATGAACAGGGCAAAGGCACCGGAGACCAAACAATGGTAAGATGTTACTTTTTAATCATAAAATTGTTGAAACACTTCTTCCACCATTCATCAAGGCACTAATAGGAGCTAAGGAATTAAAGTACTATTAAGGCAAAGCCCATCCAGAGCAAGGACACGGCCAGATCAGATCACAGCAGACTAGTATCAGCACAGGCACCGTCATTGAAACGGTCTGTAACTAGGAAATATTTGAGTACTTCATTTATAGAAGGGAATTGATATTTTTGTTGCCAGAGATGCATTTATTGTTTAAAAAAAGAAACAAATGGCACAGACTGAGAACTTGACCATGACCTGGCCCCAGCCAGTTGCCTGGGGGCAGCGTGCAGCTATGCTGGCCTGGGCACAGGATGGCCATCCCCACCTACACCCAGCGTGGTGGAAGAGCACAGTCCCCCAGGGACGGCTCTCTGCTCCACAGTGCTAACCCTGGTACCAACAGCATGCACAGGGAAATACGTGGATGAAAGCAACCTCTTACTGGCCGTGAAAAGATGCTGTAAACTTTATGTAATTGCAAATCATACCCCAAGGACAAGATACGTTTCTTAATAGCTTCTTCTGCGAGGCCACCACCACCTCAACAAGGGAAGGAAGAAAGGCAGAAACAGGTCAACAGAAGGCTGTTTGCATGGCAAGCGCGAGGTGGCCTGCCCCACCACGGCAGCAAGAGAAGCAATGGGAAGCCATCCGATGCTTGTGCAGAGCCCAAGGTACAGTGGGTGGCACAGCCACTGCCAGCCTCGTGAGCCAGAGGACGCACCCTCGATGGAGGGGCTGAGCAGAAGGGAGGAAGAGTGGGAGCTCTGCCAGCTCCATGGGCTGGCAGGGAGAAAGCTAAGGTCCTAGTCCCACCACCCTGTGGAAAGCACGCGTGGGTGATTTATGGACGGCCCACTTTCAGAGCTAAGGAATGACAGTTCCCTCTAATAATAGCAGCCTTTTGGGGTATTCAGCAAGTCTGAGAATGAAGCCTGAATAAACGGTTTGCTGTCTTCAGGAGCAGGATTTAATACACTTGGCCACACAAGTAGCTAGGGTAGAGCCAGAAATAGTGCCCTGCGCTCCTCACCTAAAACCCTGGGTTTCTGCCACAAGCCTGTACACTCTCCACACACAGTAATGCAGAAAACCAAAAAACCTCATACCAGTAGTGTATATTTATACGTACTCACAAGAGAGATAGAAAGCCTTGTATCTCGTGTCTTCATACATAGATAAATTTTTGTCTCTATTTCTCTGACATAGAATAATAAACGCTTGACTGTAATAAGTGCTGAGCACCACGAGTTCCCATTCAAGTCTGTGGACCTCTGCCTGCTCAGCACATATGAAAGCAAGGCTGCAAGAGCTTACAAACTGGAAGATCACTTACTTTATCTTGCCCTAGCATTTCTTTCTGCTGAATGATGGCTTTCATTCAACAAGATAAACAGCACAACAAAACGGAGCAAGCCGTTTGCTGAAATGCAACCTCCCCAAACACACAGTGCTCCACAACTCCTGCAAACGTAGCTCACAAAGCCCAAGTAATTAATGTTGCAGCTTTCATAATATCCCAGCTATTCTGCAAAGTTGTGCAGGCTGTTTACTCTTCTTACTTCCATCACCTTCACACACAGAGCACTGTCGTTGCCATTTTCAGAAACCCTCTGCTAGCTCTCGTTGCTGCAGGAAGGTTTCCTTCAGCTGGGACTAGTCACAGGTCTCCAAGGAGGGGTGCACTGGTGCAGCAGGGATCTCCTCAGCTCGTTGCAAGGGCTTTGCTAATCAGGTCATCGCCACTGCCTTACATCATACTGGTGTATATATTAGGCTTGTGCGGTAGCCTGCATACAAACAGGCGCTTAAATTGCATATAGTTTGTTTTCTCTGTTCTCAGCCAGCCTTTGAAACTACAATCATTTTGTGGCACTGCCTTCGTTTTCACCTACAGTCACAAACTCAGAGAGCATAATGAACTCTGCTGAAAATAAAAAAGAAATATTCAAGGGATGTTTATGGCTGTCCTGCATTGTACACAAGTCTCCGCATCAAATTCCACCCTGGGTTTCCCTCGCCTTTCTTGTTCACACACTTGCTAAAAGTGGCAAGCTTTCTCATTCCTTGGCAAAGCAAAGCATAAATAAGTAAATGGGAAAAAAAATTTAAGTTTTTGGCACTTTTCCTAAAAATCACAGCAAAAGAGATAGCAGGGATAAACTGTAATCCAGCTCGCTGCAAAAGCATGAACTTGAAGTCAAACCATTTCCCTCCAGTTAATACAAGTTCCTTCCACTTTCTCCCAGTCTAGCACAACACCTTGTGGGGGAAAAAAAAAAAAAAAAAAAAGCAAAAAAGAAAGTGATTTGCTTTTTCTGGGAGGATACAAACTCTCTGACACTTCATAATTGCAGCGAGTCTCTTCCCATACTGTGTAGTTGGGGGAAAAAAAAAAAAAAAAAAAAGAGAAAAGCAGCCACAAAAGCTTCTACCTATGAACACGAAGCTAATGGCACATATTCACCAGACCACACAGCAACGTTTCTTTCTTTTTCTTTTTTTTCAGGGCACCAACCAGCTGATCCTGAATCACACTTTATCCTGAGTGGCCAAATTGAATACAATTATTGTTAATGTCTCATAAGTGCTAATTAAACTGCAATTCCCTGTTAAACAGCATTTTGGCAAGTTTTCAGTACCAAAATATTTCCTTCACCCACAAATTAGTGTAGCTACAAACCAGAAATTGGAAGACCTACCTAAGAAAAATATTCTTAGTATTTCATCTTCTGACATGGAAATTTGTTTCCCTCAAAAGTGAGATCTGGGGGAAAAAAACCTCCTGTCTTGCTGAGAGATTTGATTCCCCAGGTGGGGTGTAAATTAAAGCACTGGTCATCTTTTTCTTAAGCAAGCAAGCTAGAGTGCAATTCCCACTACAGAACAAAATTCCTTCTGTCCAACACGCCACGGAGGAAGCAGCCGGACTGTGCATCTCTGTCTCCTCTACTGTCTGCTGTCCTAGCGTTGTTGCTTATTTTATCTATGGCCTTGGAAAACCAGGCTGGCCACTGTCACCAAGGGTTTGTGGTCTCCAGCTAGAGGTTAGCCTTTCCGGGCAGCAGCCGTGCACCACCAGCCTCTTCCTGCTGCCCCCGGAGCAGCAGAAAAAACAAGCCTGATCCCTCAAGCCTTCCCATGCCTCTTCCCCCATCCCTCTTCTCTTGCCAGCAGGAAACAAAGCTTTGGCCCAGCTTCAGATACTCATCCTTGAGGAGGCAAAATTCAAATCTGCCGCCCCCAAAGAGCCTTGGGGTGGCTCTGTGGGCGAACACAGCGAAGGACATTTGCAGCTAATGCAGACACAACGTGTTCTCTAACCAAACTCATCTGATAGAGGGGGGGCAGGTGGTGCATTAGCTCTCCCGGGGTCTGCTGCAGATTCCCTGTCCAGAAGACGATATAATGCAATATTCAAAGCCTGGATAATGGGTCTGTCTTTACCC